GCCGTACTCTTAGGGGAAAAAGAATGTAAAATTTCATTAATTATTGATTGATTACATGTTGAAATAATATTTGAGGTATGTTGAGTTAAATAAAACACACTACTAAATTTAATTTGAGGCATTATATGATCTTATTAGTGTTATTTAAAATTAAATTCATCTTCTTTTTAACTTTAAAAAATGTGGCTATTAGAAAATGTATCACTACAGATGAAGCTTGTGTTTGTGGCTGGCATGATATTTCTAATGGACGGCACTGACCTCAGAATTCAAATTCCTCCCACTATTCTACTGGGACTACACGTTGAACTCTGAATTATCTTCAAAGTAACATCAAAAGATGAGTCATCGACAGAGGCAATGATAGGGCTTCCAGTTATCATCAACCACACAGGCCGTATAAGGCCCACAAAATCATTTGGTCTGGCCCCGCCAAGGCATTAGGGGTGAGTTAATTGTTTGACCAAATACAGGAGGCTAATTTTTAAGTTGATAGTTTTGTATGGCCCGAGAATGATGTTATAAATATCCAAATGACCCGTGGCAGAAAAAGGGTTCCCTACCCTTGAACTACAAGGATGAAGACCACAAAGACTTTATCAAAGTCTGGTTTCTTCCGGATGCTCCATGTTTCTGTTCTGCCACTTGTAAGTCCCCTGCTTGTGGATAATTCACTTAATTCCCCTGACACTCCCCCCCGCGCCCCCCCCCACCCCCCCGTTTCCTCAGCTGCAATATGGGAATAACGGACTTTTCTCAAATGTTGGGAGGGTAGTATGAAATTACTCTAAGTGGTTTCTACTATCGTTACCCTTCCCCTCAGCCACTCGGCAGTGTTTGACATTAAAGCAACCTTTCAGTATTGGAGTAAGTGTGAGCCAGGTCACAGTGAAAGTGTCTGGACAGGTAAAGCGGCTAAAACATCAGTTAAAGAGCTGCAGAGGGAGAGGAAGAAAAGGAAGAAAAGGCAGCAGGGCAGGCAGCCAGAGTCTGATAAGTAAGGGGCCTGAAGATGAATGGAAAATGGATGCTTTACCTGTACTTAGTAAATGCAAATGCAGACTTTAAAGAGACAAGGCAGGGGAAGATTACTTACTGCTTTTAATATATTTTATTGATTTTTTACAGAGAGGAAGGGAGAGGGATAGAGAGTTAGAAACATCGATGAGAGAGAAACATCGATGAGCTGCCTCCTGCACACTCCCCACTGGGGATGTGCCCGCAACCAAGGTACATGCCCTTGACCGGAATCGAACCTGGGACCCTTCAGTCCGCAGGCCGACGCTCTATCCACTGAGCCAAACCGGTTAGTGCTACTTACTGCTTTTAAAAATTATTTTACAGGAGGGTTTACCAGAAGATTCCTAAAACTGACAAGCCCTCCTGGATATAATAAGAATCAAAGGATATATTTAAACCACAAACTCACTACTGAGAGGGGAGCACACCTGACCTTTAAAGACCACATTACCCGCCCACGCGTCCACCTCCCAGTGGGGTTCTTTCTTGTCTTACCTGAAGAAGAATATTGTTCCAGGATCACCTTCTTTTGCAGAGTTTTCCACACCCATCACCAAAATATTGGCTGCATCTGTGATTTAAAATAAATGACTGAAAAGCTATGTCACGAGGTGACACAAGGTTTAAAAGGCACCTATAAAGGTTTAATCAAGAACTCATGATCATTTCTTCATACACCATTAAGCACTCTATTAACACGTTGTCCATCTTCCTACTAAGGTTTTCCGAAAATGTTCATGAACAGGAAAAGGCCGTAGGACATGACTTTCACAAAACATTCAACAACCTGTGAAACTATTAGTGCTATTTAAAACTGCTCACTCATACCCATTTTGATTCAGTAATCACTAGTCCAGTTAATTATTATTAAAGTCTTAGTTTCAATACAACTAAAGCTCAAGAAATAAACTTCTTTCTACAAAATTAATTTAAAATAAAATGTGAAGAACCATTTATATATTCTCATCCTTTAAATACCATTTTATTTATAATTTTATATATTAATAATATAATTCTCAAACGACTAATCTTCCTGAATTTTAAATGATACTGTGTAAATTGAGAGTAAAAAAAAAAATACAGAAACAAAGCTACTGACCATTTCAAAGTTAATTATGAGAACTACCACCATAGTCACCTGTAACGTTGAAATATTTTAACCTTTTAAATATTAAATATCAATATACAAATACTCATCCATAAGTTTTTACAAGTATATGGATATCCTATAAGTTGTAAATATATTAATATATCAATTAATACATATACTAATATTAATATGTAAAAAGTTATATATAATTTCTTAACCTCAAATTAGGATCTTCAAAGTTTCAGAATTTCTGCTAGAAGCTAGGGAATTCAGATAGGGACCGAACCCTAAACCACCTTTTTTGGGTGAACTCTAACTTCCCTAAATCCTACAGAGGGCAAAGTCCACCTGTAGCCGAGAGCAGCATAAATGGAGGTGGAAGCCTCGGCAGGGAGAACGGTGCAAGCAGCCCCTGTGTGCAGCGCCCAGGCCGCCCTGCCCGGCGGCCAAGGGCGACTCCGCTTTAGGGGCCCTGGACAGAGCTCCATTTTTCTAAGTCAATTATGCCTGTTTTTGCCATCAAATAGAACAAACAATCTGTTCAGATCATCAAGGCTGAGAAAGCATAATGATATTTGGACTATTTCATGTGAGAATTCCTGTAAGAATTTTCTCTGTAGCAGGGGGTTTTCAACCTACTAGTTTTGCTACTTTAAGGTAAATTCATGAATTTCCATCAAAGTGTTCCAAGTTACTTATTTTTTTAATATAGAGCAGACTATTTTCTCAAGAATCCTTCCTGACAGTAGTCTAACATCGTCGGTTAAGGTTATTTTAATATTGTGTTCATCTTTTAGCTCATTTCCTTAGTTTTGAAGTCTTGGGTTATATGGCAAATTTTTCTTTAAAGGCTCTCCCCAACATCTCTATCAATCTCCTGGTTCAGCAGTAACACTAAAGTAACATTTCAATGCGGCAGCGATGAACTGCCATGGCCTTCATCATCCAAGGTACTGGTGATGCTGTGCAGCTTAACAGGTCTTTTTGATTTTAATCTGAGAACTGAGCTCCCATAAACTACATTCTAATTTCTTATCTTTGTATGTTGTTTGTATGAAGAGGTTCAACCACCACTTTTGTGATGCAATCCTTTGAACAGAAAATGAAACTGAAGCAAGTGCAGACTTAAGACAGTATCAGAGGAAAAGCATTCCCTGATGCATTTGGACATACTTGGCCCCAGGTTCAAGGAGATGTACCTCTAGGCAGGCTGGTCACTTCCACATATCCCTGAGAGGCCAGGTCTTGAGAGAGCGCGCCCAGGTGATACTCATCCGCAGTTGCAAATGCCGTGCAGTGCATCAGGTCCTGTTTCGGCGAGATTAGCATGACAGGGGTCACCGGGAGGCCGAAGTGTCTGCAATGACTGCTGTCACCTTACAGGCTCCATCTTGCAAAGCTAGTGTTTCTCCAAACATCTCAAAGACTCAGACAAGGGATGTATGAGAGAGGAGGAGGAAGGGCAGCAGACAGACAGGTTGCTGCTGAGTGTATGAAAGAACTTGCTCCTGCCAGCCAAGACGGCGGATGGCTATCCTGAGAGGGAAGCCGCTCCCCTACTGGGAGTTCAGGCACAGAGTGAGCGAAGATACGGAGGACTAAGGCATCATATGGGTGCCTGGGTGACACGCTATTTATTTATTGATTGATTGATTGACTGGATGACATGCTATTCAAAAAGTCTCTCCAACTCCGAGTTCCCATGACTCTTATTCACAGCCACATTATTATTTAAGGTCATTTAATAACCTGTCACTAGCCTGTACAAGCAGAGATTATTTGAAATCTACAAAGGAAATATAGATCTTTTACTCTGGTTAATATTAAGCACAATGTTTCATATATCTGAGAATGCACCCGGGTTTGGTTCCTGCACCGTCTCGTCCGTGTGTACATGTAAACATTCATGATTTGTGTCTGTACAGTACACACATGAAAAGACGGTCCAGTGTAGTGTTTTTCTCAAACTGTCAGTCACAACCCATTGGTGCATCCTGATATCAGTTTAGTGGCCCAAACCAGCTGAAAAACAAAACTAAACAGAATAAAACAGAAAATACTAGAGTACATTATTCATAGTAAGGATACATTTTATTTGGTGAAGTTTTCTGTCACTTAGATATGTCTAAGTATGTATGCAGGGTCACTATGTATATATAATATAAAATACGTTTCTCACTTTGGGACGAGGTCAATAAAGTCAAAAGCCATTTGGCACAGGTGCTAAGAGTTCAGGCACAGAATTTGATTAATTTTTAAAAATCAAAATAATAATGCCTGCCTTTTAGGGTTTTTGTGAAGTTTAAACAAGGTGATCAATGTCCACTACTTAGAACCCTGACTGGCACAAATGCTCAACATTTCTTACAGTTATTAAGCCACCAAAATGTATGGGAGGTTAAAAAGTTTATCAAGTAAATTACATCTGAACATTCACACATTCCTAATTTTCTGTATTAATATCTACTGATCAGAACGAGTGATTCTATTCCTTTGATATATATGGGGCTTTAGCCCATCACTGATCAAAAGAGGTGAGTCACTAAATCAAAAGTTATTCCTGGGACTCAACTCATCTCAGCTCCTAAAGTCTTTCCTTTTCTGTTCCAGCCCTGGTATGAAATTCAAGAAAAGGAGTATATTAATTCCTTCCTTTCTCCCATCAGCAATAAATTACAATTTTACACAAAATCCAGATTTCCACCGTCTTTTGATCATGCGGAAGAACTGGCAATAATCGACTAGGGCTGAGGGGGGGCTGAGGAGGGGCGGGCCCCCCAGCCCACACAGCCTCCCACTCCCTGCTGTCTCGTCTACGTCACCCCCATTTGGTACTGGCCAGGCCCATCTGTGCTGAAAATGTTCACTCTTTTGCACTCTCAAAAATGGGGCAAGGCAAAGCATTTCATCACCATTTCCAGGAGAAAATTTATTCTGAGCTCCAAAGAGTCAGATTATAAATACATTTTAAAACACAACCTGTTTTCCCCTTAGCCAATCCAAGGACCTTCTCTGCAGATTCCCTAAAGATTGTCACATGTCCTTCTCTCCTGGGTCCCATTTAGTTTTGCTAAAAGTTCTAGCCAGTATCACACGGCGTACATGGCTGCCACACTACTTTCTGTGTCCTCCTTAACCCGAATCTCTGTTTAACTTATGGCTTCTTCTACTAACAAGTGATTCATAAAGTTTTTCAGTCTGACTTGGTAGACATTTTTTTTCCCTTTGCTCTTAAATTGCAAGACTGTATTTAAATCTATTTGGTAAAAGGAAAGAGAATTACGAAGTGTCCTGATTTTGCATTTCCTCCTATTAATTCAAAGTGTTACTACTTTGTGAGAAGCTTTCATTTTCATATATGTCTTTTACTTAATTTTTATAATGAATCCTTATTTAGTGAGCATTTTATACATACACACACATAGTACAAATTTCAGGTTTTAAAATGGGGTAAAAAAAAAATGGGGTCAACAACTTGCTCTTAAATAAATGTGCCAAACCAACCAAAAATAGTTCTTAGATTTAAGACCTAAATTTAGGCCTTCCTATTTTAAAATGTTAAAAACAAAACAACCCAAAGCCAAGAAAACCACAACACTTTCGGTTATGGGTTGTTGTTTTTTTTCCTGGCCACAGAAAACACGTTCCAGCAGATGGGGCTAGAAAGCTATACATGATTCTTGTTTTAGCATCACACGTTCTGATGAGACACTTGTCTTAAAAAGGAAAGTTTATTTTGTTCACATTCTGTTCCTGAAGAACATCAGCACATTACAGTAATGCCGCTTCCCTACCATAAGGGGGAAATGCATGTCTTTCCTGATATGTACAGATTGTAGGTGAAGCTTATTAAACAGGTACATTTTACGTTACTGTTACAATGCTTTAGCTTTCAAGCTTTTGACTGCAACCTATGGTGAGAAGTCCTTTCACATACACAGCAGATATATGCGCATATGCACACACCAGCAACTGACACCGTTTCCCCAAACAATATTTTTCACCTTTACCACTTGTAATGCATTCTGATACATTTGGTGATGGAGGAACTAATTTCTCGTAAGACATTTTTATGTCTTTCTTTTTTTCTCTGTTAGACAACAAGAAATATATAACTCAGGAGGATTTCCTCCTTTCTTTGATCATTGGGCTTTGCAGAACTAATGCATTAGTCATACCAGGTACTTGATAATCTTTATTCCTCTGTTCATGTCAATTGTTTGCTCTACTGTAAATGTAATGCTTTTATTACCTCACTTGACACTGTATTAAATTTTGAAAAATCTACTTCAAATCCTTTCTTCTAAACAGAAGAAAAGTCCCACAGAAAAATAAAAAAATGGAATTCAGGATAATTGCTCCCGAATCTAAGGCTAGCCCAGAGAAGTAATGCCTCTTTGACGTTTTATAACCGACAACAACAAAAAAAGTAACATCTTTGACCTTGTCAGGATCTTCGTAAGAAACCTGCTTCTGCTCTATGCTGCTCGACAGAACAAAAGAAAAAAGGGAGTTCATCTTCCTCTTTTTGTATCTGCCTTGAATTGGGGTTTTTATGCTTAAATTAATCTCAGTCACTTAGATACTGGATTTCCCGGACTATCACAAAGCTGAATGATATAATAAAACATCAGGAGCTAGGAAGAAGAAATGAGAGAAGTTCACACGGAGCTCTTCCATCCTTCATATACTGGGTTCAGAGGGGCCATACGAGAATTTAAACAAAAGCAGAATCCAAAATGAAAATCATTCTTCGATGCCTAACTTCATAATCTGAAGATTAGTAATGAGGGTCTGTAGATCTTTTCAAAGGAAGCCAACAGCCCAGTAAAAAAACACAACAAGCCCTAGCTGGTTTGGCTCAATGGATAGAGCATCGGCCTGCGGACTGACAGATCCCAGTTTCGATTCTGGTCAAGGGCACATGCCCTGGTTGTGGGCTCGATCCCCAGTAGGGGAATGCAGGAGGCAGCCGATCAATGATTCTCTCTCATCATTAATGTTTCTATCTCTCGCTCCCCCTCCCTTCCTCTCTGAAATCAATAAAAATATACTTAAAAGAAACACACACAACAAAATTAAACATGCTTAGGGTCCACTCAGAATTGAGATGTTCAGACAGACATTCTAACCTGTTTTCTGATAGATTCAGCAGGCCTGATCAAGTTTTAAATATTCTACATTCCTTTAAAAATAAAAATAAAAACCTCACCCAAGGATATGTTTTTATTGATTTTTAGAGGGTGAGGAAGGGGGGGGAGAGGGAGGGAGGGAGAGGGAGAGGGAGAGAGAGAGAGAGAGACACACACATTGACATTGATTGGTTGTTTCCTCCCGCACACCTGACCAGAGATCAAACCCTCAATCAACTGAGCCACCTGCAGGGCCACATTCCTATTTTTTAATGATGAGGAATACAGACATAGAAAAAATTCCTTTGCCTCTTTTCCATCCTTCCCAACTTAAAACATTTATTAAGTACAAGGCACAGTTCTAGGTATTATGCAAGATAGGAAGGTTAACAAAGGGCTTGATCCTGACCCTAAATATTTCTCATTTAGAGGGGAAATGTGATTATAGCTGAGAAATTCCCATATACCTTGTAATAGTGAACAAAAATACCCCTTCAACCTTCAAAGAATAAAAAAGCAAAAACCTTCCCCCTGCCTTTTGATTTGACCTTGCCACGTCATCTCACCACCCCACCCATGTAGTCCCATGGACTAATGAATGCTTACCTGTCTGCACAGTTACTAAAAAAATTATTTCTAATTGAATAAAGAATTCAATTTGATTGAAGGAATTCAGTTTGATTTTTTTTTAAATGAGTGTTTTTTTAGGGCACCATTCCTAGACTGCATTTAATACTAGTCTGCCGGAAGCCAATTCCAGAAGGTCATAATTGCAAGAGTTTCATCAAAAGGTTGATGGAACTTGGGGACTCAACAAGGGCCGAGTCACATATGTTGTCGCCTGTTAGGAATGGCTAAAGGCATTTCTCCAAACCGGAAAAGGGATGACTGCTTGCTGCCAGACAGCTCAGGGCATCTTCATCTACATGTTATTGCCTCCTACTGGCCAAACACCTGAATAGCCGTAGGCAAATTCTTCCAATCTGACAATGGATTCTGTACCTAACCCTACCCTTTGAAGTGTATATATCTACCTTGCCTTAGGACAAATTGTGCTAATAAAAAGCAAGGGGTCCTGAGACGAAGAGAATTTAGTTCATTTAACTCGTTTCCCGCACTCCCTAACGCCTTTCAAAATTAAGTTTTGTCTCTGGACTCTTATTTAAGTTACACACAGCCCTTCTCCAGATTTCCTGAACCCTTCTAGATGCTGGAACAAGAACCCTGGCACTAGTCTTCTTTTGCAAAGTTTCCTTAGGCCAATAACTAAGCCTTTCGTAAACTATATTTGTACATTTAATCACCTATAGTTTGTCTTTATATGTCTCACTAATTCTTTTTTTTAAAAAATATTTTATTGATTTTTTACAGAGAGGAAGGGAGAGGGACAGAGAGTCAGAAACATCCATGAGAGAGAAACATCGATCAGCTGCCTCCTGCACACCCCCCACTGGGGATGTGCCCGCAACCAAGGTACATGCCCTTGACCGGAATCGAACCTGGGACCCTTCAGTCCACAGGCCGACGCTCTAGCCACTGAGCCAAACCGGTCAGGGCTGTCTCACTAATTCTTAACATTAAGATTTTGATTCCCTTTGAATATAGTAAGTTTTACTCTTTGGCAAAGATCTTGATGAAAAAATTGCTGAGCTGTGTGCGATCCATGCTAGCCTAGAGAGGGAGCGATTATTCCTCAACCGAAGGCCCCCACCACGTTTTTACCTCGTTCACGGACAGAACCGGAAGGTTGGTCCTGGACGGTTGCCGGGTCCTCGAAGCTTTTAGTGATCTCTTGATCTGCGGAAAGTCTTGTTTAGGAACCAGCGTTTCTGTTGACGTGGATGAGCAATGCCTCTCGATGATTTTTAAAAGCCACTTAGGACCTAATCGATTTGGTTTGTGAGTCATCGGGTGCGGGCCCACAGACTTCCTGGTGGGGAGGCGCGCTTGTTCACCTTGGCAACGTGCAGTGCTGGATGCAGAGAACACGCTTGTGTTTGCTGCGTTCGGGTTCATTTCCAGGATCTGGGACTCATTCAAACCACCGGCTCTGGTATCAGGAAAGAACAAATCCAAGGTCTGACTTCTCGCCAGGGCGCCGCGTGTTGCGCTCTCAAGTTCCTTAAGTGGTTTTCCTGTTCGATGAACCAGTCTTTGGCGCTGACATGCTTTTGATAAAACGCAGTGAGATCTGGCCAGGGCATGGAGAAGTCTGGCTGACATGACCACATCCCAAGCTAGAAGGAAAAGAATTCAAAGTTCAAGTGTTGCTATTGCTGTTTTTTAAAGTTTCAAAAAATACATAATATTTTCCTAGGTAACAGGGCATATTTCTGTAAAAATATTTGCAAAACAGATACAACCTAAGTCTAGCAAAAAAAAAAAAAAAAAGGTTACTAAATAGATACAAGTATTTCTGCTACTTTTCCTCTAATCAACCTTCAGCCTTTTTTTCTGGAAGATTACAAGATTATAAAGCTGACATGACAAGAAAGAGCTGCGAGAACTCTCCATTTACTTCATTAGCATATCTATTTTTAAAAATCTGTCCTTATAAATTCCTTTATTCAAAATGTATTCAGCCTTTGCAATGAGCTGGGGTCAGGCATGCTTCCATGAAAGGACAGGGTCCCTGCCATCGTGGTGCCAACGGTCTCCTGGGGGGACAGGATCTCCATCTGTTCACTGTAACTCTGTGGAAGGCCCTAGGCCAGGGGTGGGCAAACTTTTTGACTCGAGGGCCACAATGGGTTCTTAAACTGGACCGGAGGGCCGGAACAAAAGCATGGATGGAGTGTTTGTGTGAACTAATATAAATTCAAAGTAAACATCATTACATAAAAGGGTACGGTCTTTTTTTTTAGTTTTATTCATTTCAAACGGGGCGGATCCGCCCACAGGCCGTAGTTTGCCCACGGCTGCCCTAGGCCCTAGCAAAGACCCACGGAGAACCACGCAGGAGCTCGCAGGAGCTTGCCCCATTCCACAGGAAGAGTCAGGAAAGGCTCCCAGGAGGATTTAAGCTGCTACTCGAAGGGGAAAGTGCTTTTCAGGTTGCAGTGAGGATAGGGGATGTCAGACAGACAGACAGACACAAATACATAGACACACTTTCTTTTCACACAAAGAAACCAGACTACTTAAGTAATTTCCCCCACTATTTATAGTATAGAATATTTATTCTTTCCAAGTAAGCCTGTAGCAGGCAATTAAAAATATGTTACAAAATCACACGTTAGGTGTGGAGATACAAGTGGGAGTCAGTGATCTCAGGATTCACTGTCCAGCAGGGGAAACAGACACATTAATGTTGTGAGCACTACGGCAGGAATTGCTGTTGGGCCTGGGAAGGGAGCATCTGGGGTAAGGCGAGGGCAGGACAAAGTCAGAGGTGACAGTTGAACTGGGTCTCAAAAGGGCAGAGGGATCAGCAAATCAAACACCCCAGGTACACAGTTCTGTTTACCTGACAAACAAGTGTAGCTTCAGGGGAGGCGGGAGTAAGCTGCCTCAGCCATCAGCACTGACAAGGAGCAGTGGCCAGATCATAAGCGATCCTAGAGCGTTTCTGTGGGTAGGGGGAAGCCAGAGCTTTCAAATGTGAGACTCACAGGGCCAAAGGATGTTTAAGAAACGTATCTTTGGCCCTAGCTGATTTGGCTCAATGGATAGAGCGTCGGACTGCGGACTGAAGGGTCCCGGTTTGATTCCGGTCAAGGGCACATGTCCGGGTTGTGGGCTCAATCCCAGTGGGGGTGTGTGTGTGTGTGTGTGTGTGTGCAGGAGGCAGCTGATCAGTGATTCCCTCTCATCATTGATGTTTCTATCTCTCTCTCCTCCTCCAGGTCAGGAAACTGAGGCTTAAAGAGGCTCACTGGTCAGTTAGCGAGTTGCAGCGATGTAATTAAAACCGAGGCTTTCCAGTTCCCAAAACAACACTTGTACCCACAGCACTGTACCACAGGGACAGAGGGAGGAGGGCAGGACGGGGGTGGGGGGTGTTTAGGGTTAGGGTGGGGCAAAAGTTGGTTTACAATTATTCATATGGAAAATAATACAGTAATTAATAAATAATAATACCAGGTTCTATCTCCAGCCAGAGCACATACAAGCACTCAAAGCCCTGGCTGGTGTCACTCAGTGGTTAGCGTGTCAGTTCTACAGAAGGAATGATTCAGCTCTTCTCCCCTCTTTCTTCTATGCCATTTATTTTTACTGGCACATTCCTATCAGCATACAACGATGCTTCCATTTCTCCCGTCTGATAAAACCAACTCTCCCCTGGCTCCATCTTCCCTCCCATATACTATACCTCTTCTCTGAGCTCCCTTCCTTTTAGAGTTTTATTTGCTGTCTCTGACTCCTCGTCTCTGATTTTTCTCAAACGCACTCCAATCAGGCTTTCATCCCCACCCCTTTACCACTTGTCAAGGTCACCAATGACCTCCACATTTCTAAGTCCAATGGGCACTTCTCAGTCTTTGGTTTAGCTGACTTATCAGCAACATCTGATACAGCTGATCACTCCACCCTCCTGGGAGCACCTTCTTCCCTCGGCTTCTTCTAGGAGTCCCCACGGGCCACTTACCTACTGCACTGGTGGCACCTTTGGTCTCTGGCTGGTTTCTCAACCCCTCAAGAATGGAACGAGCTAAGGCTCAGTATTTTTGCCACTGCTCTTCTCTCTTCTCAGATCTTGGTGATCTCACCCAACCTCATGACCTTATACCATCTTACTCCTTAATGAGTATCAAAAACTTACCTCTAAACCACTCTCATTCACACACAAAATGTAGCATTCTCAAAACTCAGTTTCTGAAATCTACCTACAAATCCTATTCTTCCCACAGTCTCTCTCCCCCTTTCATGAAATAGCAATCACATCCTTATCTTTGCTAAAGCCCAAAACCTTGGTTCTTCTCTTCATTCTCTATACCCAATCTGTCAGCAAACCCCACTTGCTTTATTCCAGCTAGTTCCTGCCACCCTGGTCCAAGTTGCTATCTCTCCCAAAGGTTATGGTAATAGCTCCATATCGTATCCTCCCTGTGTCTATTCTTGGACTCCCACAGATTCTGCTCAACACAGTGACCAAAGTGATTCTTTGAACACTTAAGTCAGATCACATCTTTACTTTGTAGAAAATTTGACAATGGCCTATTTCACTAGAAATAAAAGCCAAAAATCTTAAAATAGCTTGTGTGGCCCTGCATTCTCTGGCGCTGCAGCACTCTAACATCTCCCACAGCTCTTTCCCTTGCTCTTTTTACTCGTCACTCTGGCCTCTGGATCTTTGCATTTACTGTTTCTGATGCTCTTCTCCCAGGTCTCTGCAACCTCATTCCCTCACCTTCTTCACACCTTGGCTCAAACGTCTCCTTCCCCAACCACTTCATTTAAAATGCACAGTCGGCACCCATTCTCTATCTTCCTCCCCTTTATAGCTCTCCATTGCATGTAACATCCCTTGCATACCTTACATTTTCAGTTTATTAATACACACAACACATGTGAACTGGGTTCCTATCATGTGGTAGGTAGACACTGTCCTACTTGCTGAAAATACAGGAAAATGGCTAAAAATCCCTATCTTTTTAACTTTACGTCGCATTGAGGTGACAGATAATAAATACAGTAAATCAGCAAAATAGACATTAAACAGCAACAATGCTAGAAGGAAAAACAGAAGAGGAAGGGATAGATTTGTCTCCCCTCTAAACTGCGGATTGAGGTTTGTCTTTGGTGCACGCTGTCCCCTTGGCCACAGTGCCCGGCACACAGTAGGCATTCAGCTCCTGTTTTTTGTATGCAATACAAAGCAGCTACTCGGTTCTTGGGCACATTTCCTACGAAAACAGTATCAGTGGCCAAGTGACCTTAATCTTTGGGAACATACCTTCCAATTCCTTAAGCTATTTCACCTGTGCAGTGACCGCTTTGCACCGGCTCAGAGGAGCGTTCCGTAAGTGTGTGTGGGCTGAGTGCTTTTCATTCCCAGCTAACTGGACCAAAGAGCACCGTTACGCGCAGAGCACCACGGCGGTCCCGGTGACACTGTCACGCGGAGGTTCCAGGCAGGCGGGGGCCCCCGCGCAGGGCCTCACGGACTGCCGGGGCAGGCAGTGCACTAACCTCTCCGCCGGAAGAGAAGGGGGCCCGGCCGCAGAGGAAAGAGACTGGTGGCGACAGCTTCCCCGTCCCCAGAGCCAACCCACTCCTGCACTGGGCCGGTCGCGGAGCGCGGCACTGCGCAGGCGCACAGAGCTCCGGGCCCGGCGGAGCGCGAGCCTCCCGGTCCACGTGACTGCCCGGCCACGTGACCGCGCCGCGACCTTTTCCGCTCCCTGGTCCCTGGGACCTCCCGGTGCCTGCTGGCTTCCGCCTCCCGCCCGCTTCCGGGTTCCGCTTCTCAGGTCGCCCTCCGCTGTCCCCGCCCCCGTCCCCGGAAGATCTCCACGTCCCAGAGCCGGCCATTGTTTGTCCCTCCCACGGGCACCAAATAAAGTTTCTTTGTTCAAAAGCATTTTTTTTTTAAGCCGCGGCGCGCGGCTTTTCGCAGCTCCTCCTCCGCGCCGGCCCCGCCTCCCTTCCTGCGGCGGGCGAGACCCCAGCGTCGGCGCGGGGAACGCCGAAGGCGA